CCCCAAAACCCCAAAACCCCAAAACCCCAAAACCCCAAAACCCCTAAGCCGATGCCTAACATTGCAAAAATTATTGACCAAATTTGTAGGGAATAAAAAGAATTAGTCATCACTGAAGAATCTGATTCCCAAGTACATGTACTCATCTCTGTAGTTAAATGCAACAGTTGAGTTGGGAATCTGTCCTGAAGAGAGCTCGATCTGTTGGTCAAGCTTCTTAATATCGAATTCTTTGTTGTTCACATTAACCTCATTTGTCTTAAAGTTAATCAGTGACTCGAAGAACTGATCCCAATTGTTCCTAACAATATTTCCAATCGAGCTACTTGTAAGGAAAGAGTTGGTAACCTTAGCCTTTCCAATGTTAGTATGAACAACAAGCTCTTGGATATGAACATCAACGTCTTCGATGTCGACATTCATGGAGAATGTGACTGCCTTTTCATACTTTGAGAACAAGCCGCTCTTCTTTCCGTAAATGGTGATTCCTGCACCAATGTTAGTTAAGCTGATTCCGTGCTCAATAGAGAGATTGAGGTCGAAGTCATGGTTGATATCAGCCTCTATTTTGAAGCTACCCTTTGATCCGTACTTTTCAAATAACTCTGGGATATAAATCCCAAGAAGTTGATTGAAAGAAGGATCTTCCAAACTAATTGGCAGATAGAGCTTAGACAATGATCTTGCAGCAGCTTGGATAGTGCTTTGATGAACAAAGAACTGGTTTGAATGGGCTCTTGGGAACCTCTCTTGTTGAACTTGGCTTATCTCATTTGAATAGGTTTCAATTGTTGAGTTATAGATCCTACCATCCAGACCAAACCAGATTAGGTCGTTTTCTTTATCGGTGACTATTGGCATTGATGGCCCAACGTTTGCTGATAAATCTTGCATAATATTAACAAGAAACTGATCTGGGTTATTGCTATTGAGCATTCCATTGAGACTAGTTATAGCTCCAGGTATGGCCTTCAACACAAGGGATAAAAGTTTGTCACTTGATAAGAATATTTTGACGATCCATCCAACAATAAAGAAGTTCCAGTCAAACTTTTTATAATCAAGCCCTAAGTCGAGGTCGATTTGAGGGAACCGATTATATTTTTCAGAAAGGTCTACAAGAGCAGTAACATTAAGATCGCTAAACCTGATTCTAAGTCCCCACATTGGGAAAATATATAAGAGCCAAACTCTTACGTCAACATGGGCATCACAAGTAATATTTGTAATTGTTAGGTTGATTCCGCTGTCCCCATGCCATTTCAGACTTCCTTGGGTGAGAGGATCAATAGTTTTAAATTTCAGGGTTCTTACTTGAACCGTGAATCCAATTCCGATATAACTAAAGTTAATCGCTATAGGTTCTCCAGTTCCTCCTCCCCATAGATAATATCCGGCAATAGGAACTGCAAACTGTGCGATGTTATCCAAAGAAGAGACCAAGAAAGAGCCTTGGATATTCCCTGGTTTGGCACCAAGAATTGGTTCTTCTAATGCTGCTACTTGTCTGTAACTGCAGAACAGCATAACTACAAGGAGAAATAGAATTCCTTTCTTCATTTCTATTATAAAATAGTGTTATAATAGCAATAATATTTCTCTCTAAAGGGGTTTTGGGGTTTTGGGGTTTTGGGGTTTTGGGGTTTTGGGG